GAAGAGTGTGGCTTTTTTCCACAGGGTGTATCAGGCGAAGGCTGCTGTAGTTGCTGTGAGAGCGCATCGGTTCTTTGCCTTTCAATGCCTTCTCTTTCTCCTTTAATAGCTAAGTATTCAGTATTCAGTATAACTACTGTTAGAAAGGTGAACCTCAGAGTAAGCGACAGTGTAGTGTAGTGAACAATATCAAACAAGTGGTGAGGATTGGGCAGAATAAAATCGGATAGATGAGCTGTTCACTAGGAGTAGAACGTTGGACATGAGAACTCACGGAAATCTCAAAAATTCATCACAATAAGGAAATGTGTCGTCCTGAGGGATGTGAAGCTAATATTTACAACAAATTCCTTAAAGTGCAAGATGAAGCACATTTTACTTCGATATCTGAGGACCAGTTTGACGAAGATGACCTACACCAGTACTGGGTAAGTTTGAGACACAAATCACGATAAAAGTTGTTCATGAGGTTTCCCGCTAAGATGAACCTGCGACCCCGAACGATAGCACAAGAAACGCTGACGGATCGAGGAACGACTAGTACAGGGGTAGTCAAAGCCCCAAAACGGCTTAGCCGACATGCACACCCACCTTCTCAAGACGCTGTAAAAGCTCAGAGGTAGCACCATTTGCGCTAGGAGTAACACGTTCCACGCATGCAGCTTACTGTATCCTGTAGAGGTAACACCATTCGCACCAGGAGTAACATGTTGCACGCAGGCAGCTTACTGTAGCCAGCAGCAAGCGATGGCCCGCACACATAAACAACTCGTCTAAAAACGTTGAAACTACTGGAAAGTTACGATTAGTTGCTTATCCCGAACTTGCTCATAACCGGCATCATGCTCTCTGACTATTGAATGCTCAGCCACCTCCAAAGTCACATGGATGGTAAGGTGTTCAAGATGGAGGAGTTCAGAAAGCAGTGAATGTTTATTTCAGAACCCAGTCTCACCACTCTGGAAGGAAGCACAGACTGCCCGAGCGCTAAGAGTTAGTGGGGTACATATAAGCTCTTGCCCTCATGAAGACATCAAAGGAGTTAAGAAATTACAAAGGACATACGACAATCTAAAGGTATGCTGCCAGCTGCAGCTAATGTATTTAAAGTCTAATACACCAAGATTGCATGGAAACCCTCGTGTGACACTGAACACACTTCGGATCTTGCTCATTGAAGAGAGCGATGGAGTAGTAACAGAAGTTCGTGAAAAAAAAATGCTACGAAAAATAGGGTTCCTTGATAGTCTTAATATTGCCTCGGCCAAAAGTGGATGCTGGCTCCTCTCGTGAAAAAAAGAGAAAAACTTTCAGGAAAAGAGCATGTAAACAGAACAATTCAGATTTGATTGATCGATGATCTGATGACTTGTCCAGACCCAGGCAAAACTTATCCTTTTCCTGCTCGAGGCAATCGGCTTGTAGTGCCTACATGGATAACAACGCGCAGTACCCCGTGTTTATCATAGCAGGACTCTACGGCTGATCCTGTTTACGAGGGAACGAGGCTCATTGACAGGATCCGCTTGTGCTATGGTCACACGCCATGCTGGCGAAGAGAGGATGGTCAAAGCTTTATAGTGAGCGGTAAGACCAAAAGTAAGCAGTTTTTTCTAATACATATTAAGGTTCCGAAATCGCCCTTGTGCCATCATCACTACTTACTTTATATGAAAACTTCGCTTCTGTCTATTTGTTGCGAAATTCGGCTTCATCTGAAGAAGCAACTGTAGAGGTGCCGATCAAGTTTGGGGCCTGTGAGACCTAGAGCAAGATCAACACAGCACATATTGAGCTCAAGGGAACCCGCTCACAGGGAAAGAAACGTGCACCGGAACGGCCGCTTCGGTGGAAGAAACTTCATAATTTCGGTTCAGAAAAGCCCCGACACAGGGGAAAAATGGGCAAAGGATCGTTAACATGGGATAAGCCAACAAATTAGACAAAGGAGACTCATTCGCTGTGGGCGGAGCGTATCAAAATGGGCGGTACTTTCTACTTGAGTTCAGAACCCATTCAACCCGTACTCAGATTCCTTGAGAGAAGAGGGAGATTACAACAAAAAATTCATAACTCTGTTATATGATTCTTTGTTGTGACGCACGCGTAAATGTGCGAAGTTCAACTGATAATAATATATTGTTTGCAAATAAGCATTTACATGTGACGATCGCTTATGAAAACGGCCTCACGACAGGAAAAAAAGATGAAATCGCAGCTCGACCGTCAGAGCATTTGATGACAGAAGGTGTAAAGTAGGGAAAGAGGCGTGAAATCATACGATCAGAAATTTCGAATCAATTGCACTGAAAGAGAGCTTGCGCTTCTCACACAATCCAACTGGTTCAGTAGGTACTATGAGCTGTAAACAAAGAGATGACAGGGAAATAAATAATAAATAGGAAAAACAAGAGGACTGCGTCCTTAAAGGCAAAAAAAGAAATAGCGACGGCAATGGTACGACACGACACCAAGCAAGGCGGATGACTAGCCACTAACATCAGATGTGTTGCGGGCGACCGAGACATCGGTTTACGTAAACCTTTTCCATAGCAGGGGTTCAGGGTATTTTATGGGATAGACGTTAGAAAAAAAAAAGAGACTAAAGAACGGCAGTAACGTCAATGTGAGTCATCTGCATTAAAGAAAAGCCTTGCACGTATGGGTCTCTCCCTACCAGATGGGAGGCCAAGAAGAAATCATCGCATACGATGCCCAGGTGATGATAACAATGGTCATTCTGGGGTCAAGGAGGCCTCACATTGTGGTTTGATTGGAGCTCTCGAGATCATCCTTTTATAGAAACTCGGCGTACTATTCCACTATTACAACCCCGAAAACTCAAAATTTTAATTTTCGTTGAAACTTCGCCTATAGGGGTAATCCGATGCCCTGATAACGAATATGACCTTCATTTTTGGCGCTGGCGCCATTTGGCGCCAATTTGGCGCCAAGGGTGTTTCCACCAAACTTGCTGAAAACTTGCGTTTAGGGATTATTTGAGGTCCTGATAACGAATATAACACTCGTTTCCGTGTCCTCAAACAACGAATAAAACTTTTATTGAGCCACATCGTCTCCCCCACAACCTGTATGCCTTGTCGTCGCGACAGATAGCCTAAGCGCGTAAAATGGATGTTATATTCGTTATCAGGACCTCAAAATACCCCTAAACGCAAGTTTTCAGCAAATTTGGTGGAAACACTCTTGGCGCCAAATGGCGCCAGCGCCAAAATAACAGGCCATATTCGTTATCAGGGCATCGGATCACCTCTGTAGGCGAAATTTCATCGAAAATTAAAATTTTGGGTTTTTGGGGTTGTAATAGTGGAATAGTACCGAAACTCGGTAATCCAAACTCTTATCTTACTGTTAATAACACAGACACCACAACAGTCTCTACCATAAAGTTCCAAATTGATGCCATATACAATAAGCTCTTATTTGAGAAAAGGGCAGATATAAGAGTAAGCTGCAGTAAGAAGCTACACAACCGAACCAAACGACACTATTACGTGTTTATTCGTTTAACGCTGATGATAATAGTTTGCAAATAATAATAAAGTAATATGTCGGCATGAAAATCCATTGCTATATAAAGGCCTACTCGATGCACCAAAACAGAAGATTCGCTTCAATTTATCCGAAAGTGAATCTACGGAATCGATGGTGAAACTCTCGCAAAAACCTTTCAATCCGTCGAATTCGGTGTGTTTCCATTGCACAGAGCACGTACAATTTTGCGGCAACATTTCTATATTCTGCAACAATTTTCCTTATATTTCCTATTTTCATTTTGCCGTCTAGAATCCTTCCAGATAGGTGAAAGAAGCTTTTCTTCACAACAATACTCTTAGAACAGCTAAGCGAAGCTGCAGGCGTGCCAGTACCAGATATCAACTGCACAGTTCCAAGCAGTCGTGCGTATTTTAGGGTGCGCTTCCAGGGTCAGCAGTAGGCTTTGTTCAACGGGAACAGAATAAGTTAGCTCAGATTGTAGGGAGACGGGCGTTAGGAACGATTTTAGGTAATCGAATCGCCGCATGCGGCTGTCGCGGACCACTCATTCTCCGTTATTACAGCTCTAGCGTTATTCATACAGCTCAACTGATATGCGATCATTATTTTGTGCATAATTCTACTGTTAGTACTTTTGTTCTTGTATTTCTTACCTACTGCTGCATCCTGCTACATTCCTTCGCGCGCGACGCCCCTCTCACCGCGACGCGGCCATTTCGTTCATAACGCACCACACTCCAGATTATATGATGAAATTGAATGAGCAAAGCTTCCAAGATCTACCAAGGCGAACTCACCACATTTAGCAGCACTCCTAACCCCTTATATTTATACTGTTAACAATGATTTTGGAGCACTACAAATCTACCCGTACCTGTGATGGTTTGCTGGTCTATACCCAGGACAGCACATATGAAGTAGTCCTCCTTTACGAGGTCAACGTTCTTCTGACATCACAGCGAATTGCTTTGTATTCGCTCCCGAATTGCGGATCGTCTTTGTGCCTCTCGATCTATCCAGCTTTCTTCTTTCGGAGTAATGTGCTCTCATACTTTAGATTCAATATGTCAACATTAACACCGGCAGAACAAGAAGAGCAAAAGAAAATCGTCGAGACATTTCAAAGGCTTCGCGAGCAGCAGCAGGAATTAGCACAAGAAATCACTCGTGTAGAAGAAGAAAAACGGGAATTTGGGTGAGGATTCTTTCACAGACAAATTTGACCATATCGCCTTATTCCAATTGCATTCCTGTTTAAGGAGAGTCATAGAACTATTGAATGAGCTCGATGGTGAACAAAAATGTTTTCGTCTGATAAGTGACACTCTCGTTGAGTACACGGTAAAGGAAGTGATCCCTGTGCTAGAGAAGAATTTTACAAATGTGAGTAGTTCTTCGAAATTCCTTTGACATCTGCCGTCTGCGTCGAGTCTTTGTCTGTATACTTCGTTTTTTTCAGCTTGGAGTTGTTTCTACAGAGCTTAGTAAGAGACTCGTAGACAAAGGCAATGAGTTAAATGCCTTCAAAGAAAAGCATAATATTCGATTTCTCACCGAGAAGGAGACTCAAGAACTCAGGGAGAAACAACTTCAGTCATTGCAGGCTCAACGGAAGCAGGAGTGACATTGATCTCGTTTCGAATTATAATGTTCTATTCTTATTCATTTACTTCGATATGCGGCCTCTTTACATTTTGAAGGTTTTAATAAATGTCTTTGCTTTATTTTCTTACCACTGCATCTACGTGTATGTTGCACTGTGTTTTCTTCCTATCATTTTCTTGGTATCCAAAGCATATGGCGCTTAGCTTTTTTTCCAGATGACTTCAGTTTGTGATGTTATGCTTTCATCAGATGAAGAAGAAGAAGAAGTGGGTGATGATGTCCAGGAGACGACGTCGAAGTCGAATGACGGAGAGGTAGAATTTCTTAGCACCATAAGTGTGATTTACTTCATGATAAGATATGATCTCTAGGCTTTTATAAACCTGATTCTTGATTTTGTCGGCATGACGGCTTGAAAAGACATCAAAACTATCTGACTTTTTTCATACACTCGATTATTGAGTTGTCGTAAAATGTATCCCCGATGTCAAAGAAGAACTAAGGCAACGCGACTTTACAAGGCGGTTTATTTTTGAGATGGTAATCATTTCAATGAACTGCTCGCTGTGAAACTGTAATTCCATGTTTGGGACTTTTCGGAGCTCTAACCCTATTTGTTGATACAGTAATTATCGTTGTCGCCTAGGTCCATTTAGGCACATCAATTCGGTGAACTTTCTTTGCTGCTGTTCCTCTTTAGGAATTTAGCTTCCGCCGACAAAGATTAGAACAAAAGGCTATGGCGTGTTTGTTCTCATTGTCAGACATTAGGACTACTTTTTGGCCAGTAAGTATAAATCACATAAAAATCCTCAGTTAATGTAGCAGTTAATTAGCACTTGAGATGTTTTTCTAGCATCAATAGTAGCCTGTTTTCTCGTTTTAGTTGCATGGATACATTCAAAATAAATCTGACCATGTGAGATGTAGGATTTTAAGCGGTGCAAACGATTTCATCGCCTCACATGAAGTTCTCACACGATTAAGAGTTCCTGTGTAGAGTTAACAAATGTATTTGAAGTTACTCATGACATCCTCCCAAGTATACGTCTTATTGCTACTTTTTCATACTGCTACTATGGTTATTTCAACCCGTCGGAGGGTAAAATTTTGAGGATATCAACGTCTTCATTTACAGCTGGGTATTAGCCCGAAACGGAGAATACTGTCCTCGAAATACTATCTCCCTCACAACAGAACTGCCACTTTTCCATATATAATTTGGTAATTAATGAAGATACGAAATTTCAGGGTTCTTCGGAAAACGAAGATAGTTCAAGTGAAGATGACGCAGAAGAGTTCGAGCGTTTAGCTGAACTACGTCAATCTATAACTACAGTGCGTTCCTACTTATAGTTGCCGGTCCTACAGGACTTTTTGGTATTTGTGGACCTGAAATAAAAGGAGTATAAGCGTTTTTCTGGATTTCATCCTTGCAGGTGGAGGAAACATCAGCAACAAAGTCATTTTCGGAGTTGGGATTGAGGTCTTGGCTTGTGCAGCAATTAAATACGATGCGCATTGTCAAACCCACACCAGTGCAGGTAATATGTTGTGCTTTCTGTGTTTTGTTTGTATTCGAAAATGAAAACTTCCTTTTTGAGTCACTTTGAACATTCCTTTTTCCTCCTCTCTTCTGCGGTCTTTTATGTTTCACTTAAACAAGGATCTGTCAGGGCTGCGGTTTACTTTTGCTGAGTTTGATTTTTATACGTTGTATAAAAGGGACAGTGAGGAAGACATTGTTTCGAATCAAAACAGCTAGCAATGTTGTTAATGAGGTTACCAATCGCGATTCTCTGGCTTCCCAGGTCCATACTACTCTCCTCAATAGGTTCCTTCAAACTTTATCCATGACTTTAGTCTTAGCCATCTGATAACGAGTCGCGATCTCTTCACCTTAGGACGAATTTAGCGAGATTCTTTAACTCCCGAATTAGGCCCGCGAAAACTCCAGAGAAATGCTGGAAAATTCCGTTGGGGCCTTCGTTCTTCAGAGTTCGCTACAAATTGATTCATACCGCAGTATTCATTACCAATCTGCACTGTGGAGTTTACTCACGACCCAATTCTATTCAATCCTCTTTCGCTGTATTTCTTTCTGGGAATTCTTGTCGACAAAATTTAGAGGCTATTCTAAGCTTTCTATCTTCTCAACAAAAAATTGTCAGTGCAGAAAGTTAGTCTGCTGAGCTCGTAAAACTATGGAAGGCTGCAACGATAGAGCCGATATTTCAGGCCCATTGCATACCTAAGGTGCTTCAAGGATTTGACGTGCTGGGTTGCGCTAAAACTGGGACGGGAAAAACACTTGCATTTGTTCTCCCAATTCTCAACGAGGTATTCTGAATTGAATTTGCTCAATTTCAGAAGAACTATTACATAGAACTCTAGCTTCGTCTTTTCAGCTCGCAGTCGATCCCTATGGGATTTACGCCCTNGTTTTGACTCCTACTCGTGAATTGGCGTCCCAAATTTTCGACCAGTTCGTTGCTCTTGGAAAGCCTATTGCTACAAAAACTTCTCTTATAACTGGAGGCAGAAGCTTGGTGAATATACAAATTACTGCCTTTATGGATCAAAAGTATCCAGAATTAGTATTACAGTTGCAGTATTGCACTCAGTTGCAGTTAATTCGTTATGCATGATAATCCAAAGTACTTACTAAGGTGGATCAGGCGAATGAGCTAACTGTTCGACCTCATATCGTCGTCGCTACTCCAGGAAGACTTGCTGATCATATTGACAGTGACCCGGAAGGATTAGGACAACTGTTCAAGTACGATTTTTTTGTCATTAATGCGAACATATGGACTCAGCGCGTTAATCAGCGTTTCTTCACTTTTTTCATTCATCCTTACCCTAGTTAGAGCAAAACTTTACTCCTTCGTCAGGCTTCATCGATGAAAAGCATGAACCTATTACTCATCGTGAGCCGCAGCCGTTGCTCTCAATGAAAATGAGCTATCTATGCTACGCCTCTCTAATGGTCTTACAATCTGCCAGTGCTACGAAACGGTAACATGCTCTTTTCAGAAAGATTCAGTTCTTTGTACTTGACGAGGCTGATCAGATGTTAGACGGCCAGTATAATGAACAGGTTAGCTGTCTTTTACTCTACCTCATTACATGACTTTTTCTAATAATCATCATTACATAGTCTTTTCACATTACTTTCAGTTGAAAACAATTTTCTTGTCTATTCCCAAACAACGGCGTACGCTTCTCTTCTCGGCGACTATCACTAGTGCCATTACGAAGCTTCATACAGTATGCTTTATTTTCTGATTCTTTGAAAACAAGATTTTTCCCAGTATTTAGTTCCGAATTCCGTTTCTTGTACTCCATTCCGTTTTCGCTCGATTTTGAACAATAAAATGTTAAGGTCACCAAGAAGAAACCGTACTTTTTCGAGGATAAGCACGACGTTGCGACAGTAGAGAAGTTGGAACAAAAGTTCGTCTTGTGTCCGGTCGCAGTCAAGGATGCATATCTCGTAGTTTTTATGCCTAATTTTGAAATCCGTCGATAGGGTGACTTATCTTGTTTCTTTTGTAGGTATACGTTGTAAAGAACTACTGTGAACGAAATGAAAATAGCTCTGTGATCGTCTTTGCCCAAACTTGTAGAGAATGCCAAGCCTTGGCGTACATGTTCGATGCACTAGGATTCAAGGTGAATTACTTCAACTCCTTGATCTGTCAACTTTCAGAGTTACATCAGTGCTGTAGATGAGCAATGTGGAACCAGTCGCGCCCATTGTTTGTCGGCCAGAAATTCTCTGATGCGAAATTTTGTAGCGCACTAGGTACACCTGTGATGGACGTCTCTCTCGTTCGCGCTTCAATGTGTAAAGATTCCGAAAGCCATTCCCGACCCGCTGCAGTGAAATGTTGAAGTTTCGATGTAAAAGGACGTTGTGACTATGTCCTCTGCGACCAGCAACTCATCGGTAATGACCACCATCCCCTAAACTGGGAGCAAATGTTACCATTAAGGTCAGCATCTCCTCCTGCAGCGAAGCGATAGTTGCTCCAACACTTGTTGTCCTTTTAGCGGTGAACAGTGCCTTCAGTAAACGTGTTCCCTATGATTGTAGCCCCTACACTCGCGCTTCTCAATGGACAGCACTCGCAGAAAGTGGTGATACAAAACTGGTGTTGTTCCATCATAAACACTAATTGATGAAGCCCCACCCTACCTATTACTGGCTCATTGAACTATTCATGGCAACCATGCTAATTAATATACTACAACGTTTCGATACACTAAGCGCGACCTTTTGCTCAGGTTGGTTCACTTCATTCTCAAATTGAACAACGTCTTCGCAATGCAGCGCTCTCCTCGTTTCGGTCGAAAACCTTACGTATTCTGATCTGTACGGATGTAGCATCCCGCGGACTTGATATCCCTCACGTACGTCGTTTATCCGTTTTTCTACTCCTTCTATTCGTTTTTTCTTCTTTTCAGTCCTATAATGAGTGTGATTGCAGCTCACTTCTTAAGGAGTATGCCATAGAGTTAATAACCTCAGCACTGATTATGATACTTATTCTAAAAGAGTTGTTTTAAGGTTGACTTGGTGGTCAATCATAATGTTCCGAAGTCACCAAAAACTTATGTTCATCGTGTGGGTCGTTCAGCGCGTGCTGGGAGGTGGGCTTACTCTACATTTTTTGGGTTCAGTAGTCGGTGGCGTATGTACTGGCACCTATTCAGATATGGTGCCGCTCTAACTTTCGTGACTCAGTACGATATAGTGCTTCTTCAGGCCGTAGAAGAATTGATTGGAATGAAACTTGAAGAGCTCAAGGTATCAAAGCTCTTTTTCAAAATGCCGATTTTACAAGTTATCTCATATTCAGGTCAGCGACCACAAGGTAACTCGTTATGTTACGAAGGTTCTCGTTGCCAAGAGGGAAGCAGAATTAAGGTTGGAACAGAATAATTTCGGTGAACGAAAAGAGGCAAACTTACGTAAAGATCTCCTTATGAGTGGAGTACCTGAGGAAGAGGTAAGCGGAACATAAGTAATTCATACGTTTGTGGTGCTCAATAAGTTTCAATTCCAGGTTGACAAGAGAATTGAGGAAATCAGACAACCTCGAAATAACGCGAAAAAGGCACATCGTAAAACGATTACCGGGAAGAGACCTCAAACCATAACCAAAAAAGATCTCGGTTTAGAAAAACGAAAAAAGATATGAAGAGAGTGAAATGAAATTCTATTTCGGCTATTGAGTATCACATCAAGCCTTTCACAAATTGAGATCTTCGTCTGGGTCACTATCGTCGAGGTCATCCTCTTTATCTGGTGTGTAGATGATCTGACCACCTACGCGTACTTTTCGATCAGCCAAACGGAGGTTATTGAGATCTGAACACTCAGAAATGAAATAAAACTGCTCATTAGCCAACTAAAGACTAGTAGACAGGGACTAGTACCAGACAACTATGGTCTATTGAATGAACATAGCAGAGCGGACCAATCTGTTGATCTTTCCCTATGCCCAACCCATGCCAAACTTGACCCGACCCATCTAGGTGCTTTTTCATGATATCGAATTGCGCGACAGACAGAGGGTCGCGCATTTTATATGTGAGGATTGTGGTTTCAGTTTGAGTCACGTACACTTTGTAAAAGTGCTACAGCATTGTGTACAATACCATCAAGCCCACAGCAATCATCTCAGGATCTCTTCCAATCACAACCTTTTTGTTGTTTTTTTTTTCTAGTAACCTCATTATTAAAAACTCACGGCTTTGCTTGAACTGAGATGTAAATGGAAGATTTAGTTGCGATCTGGCGGCAAGCTCTTTTTCCTTAACAACGTAAATAAGCTTGACAGACTGAGGACAGAAAAAAACGACATCCCTGGGCACTGCACATGCAAACTTACGCTCAACTCCGGTTCCATGTCCATTGTTGCTATACTAGGCTTTTCTGAAGCCGCCACAGAATTGACATCAGATGGTTCGAACTTTTCAGTGAATATCTCCAAGTCAGCGTTTATGGAGAACGCTTCCGTCTAAAATACTTATTTCGAGCTTCATGAGCTTTATTGAGAACGTGTAGCAAAGAGCGAACAGGTGAGCTAGTTCTGAAGAAAAACTCATTTGCTACATGTAAATGAAGAGATCGTGAACAAACGAAATAGGCCAGTTTGTATGCATGCCAATACACACCACGGCAGCCGGTGGTGGGTCATGCTCTAAACTGTTGAACGCTGCTAGGCATTTTCATGTGTTGTTCTAGTGTGAAAGGCCTGGAGCGTGTTCTCGACTTGAAGAGAGGAATCAGAAGAGAACTTCATAATCAGGGACTATGGTGAGCAATGCTTGGCTGCCATGGAAGAGAGTCGAAGTTGGAGTCCTATGTTTCTTCTAGAACGAATAGGGCCTCTTTCTCAGAGTGCTGTCATTCCTCGGAAGGATTGGAGAGATGCTACGTCCGTCGGTAGGGAGACGCATCTTTTATAAAAGAGTTCGGGAGCAGGGATATATCAAGATTCGGAATAAAGCGTATTTGGTGTTTTCGCTCAGAGAGAGCGTTCAAAAGCGCATAAATATCAGGAATGCACCTATATAGCAGAACGTGTTTTTAGTATTACGTTGTACATACCGCCTTAGTTCGTTTCCCGTTCTTCTTATACATCACCAGTTCCGAAACACAGCGATTCCCTCGTCTTTGAAGCCTGATTACAGAATTTGCTACGGCACGCAACCGATTGTATTCTTCTTCATCAATGGAAGCTTCCGAACAGACGGCAATGACGGGGAACTTGGCTTAAAAAATAACCACAAAAAAGAGTTGTATTTAACAGATGGGGATTATGATGACTAACCTTTCAAACGTGAAATAAACGCAGCTATCGAATCCACCCCGTGCTTATCAACAAACACGTCCATGCAGTCTAGTATACAGCATGAAGGCGAGCCTGTGACGATTTTGGCATGGATAATTTCCATTGTTGCTTGGTAATCGAGACAAATGAACGTTGCACTGGAATATCTCTTCAACTAACTGGTTTGGCCTAAACATCATTGTTGCACCAACCCTTCACATCTTGCACCATATCGCCTTCGAAGGACCTTCTCTTTACCAGGAATAGTAACAACGACAAATGATTTGAATGATCGAACAAGTGCGAAAGCAAGCGGTTCGCCATTACATGTCTCGTTATCTGTAAGTACCGTACTGGTCTGAGCAGCAATCACGTCACTCTTTAGTAGTATCAATTAGGTGCACAACCTCTCAGCAGTAGGAACCCGTTCGGAACAAGAGCTCTGAGCGCCATTGTCCTTAAGGTAAAAGGTTTGTTCAGAGAAAGAGAGTTCCTCTTAACAGTAGATGATTTAACAATTCACATCTTTACGGTTTTTAGAGGGAAAAACAGTTTATTTGAAACATTGAACATAATGACCGTAAAATGTTGACTCACATTCTGCAGGCTACATACTCACATAACAAGATGTTCCACAATAAAACATGACTTGGATTATGGGGAAAGAAGGACCTCGGAATTCCAGTAACATACAAACACGTCCGCGAAAAACAAATGTTAATACCTTGACTATGCTAGGATATCAAGATGGACAAAGAAATAAATTATAATTACGGTATGGCTTGCTATTCACAGAAATGCAAGCACAGCGGGTTTGAAATGAGTTGTATAAAATGCACATTATTGCAGGTATCACATCATGCAAAATAGTTAAGCAGTAGAGACCTCTTGCGTACTTTTTGCTTTCTCAGCCGGCTTCTCTGATGGTGAGGGTTGTTGTGGTGCAGAGAGATCCATGGGTGTTTCGTCCTCAACTGCCGATTTAGATGCATTATTCTCCTCACAAGGTTTCTTCTCTGGTGGAGCATCTGACGAAGTTGGAGAGTCGGTAACATCCGCAAACATGCTCGACATCTGGAATGAAAGACACGAAGTAGTTTTAAAAGGATGAATAACGATCGTTGAAGGTAGCTCACCTTTCCCGGCTGATGTAGTGCTGCGAATTTTGGCTGGATACCAGAAAGCTGTTGGCCCAGAGTGGGCGTCACGAACGGACCAGGTGGCGGCAGAGGAGATCGACCAGCCATAGCATCAGGATCCTTTGATGTAAGACGAGACAAGATTCTGAAAAGCTCATTAGGAATGAAAGCATCAGTACTGCGCACTTAAATACGAGAAAGGAAATGATTTAGACCGTACTGTCTTTCAGTCATGGCCAAGCGATGTGTGACAGGCCGAAGCTGCGATAAAGTAGCAGGAAGGCGAGATACATCAGCCTTCATATCCGACAACAGTTCCTCCAATTGATTCAATACTGAAAACCAGTCTGTCATCATCAAATATCATTAAATGCCTCATAAATTTGTACTTCGAGAAAGCTGAATATAGCTAACAATTACTAGTTATGATAAACATCTCACCTTTGTGGAGAACAGCATTGGCATTTCGATTGCCGGCTGCAGAATCTTTGGCGACATTCGCGTGCGAATCAGCCACATTTTCTATATCTGCGAATCGCTGAGCTAACTGTGCGGTTCCATCAGTTGTGCTATTCTGGAGGTTCATGTAAGCAGCACGTCGGAGCTGCTCCTCGATCACTAGGGCTTGTTCAAGCAGCTGAAAAAGAATCTAGCTTGTCACAGTATGAAATCACAGAAATTTGACGTGCCTTATAACGCCTTTGCAGGAATTTATTTTTGATTTCAAGGAAATTTCCTTTCCCTTGTTCTTGACGGAATGGTTCATTGATTATTGCAAAGCGTGGATCCATTTGAATGTCCTGGTACCGCCCGTAACCGTATCTGGATATAGCAACATTGAATCAATGTAAACGTTTAGCAATTTTTTACAGTCAGACTTACTGCACTATTCCAGCAAGGAGCCAGTAGTCATGCCTACGATGCCAGATCTCGTATTCGTTACCGGGGACAGCAGCCTTTTCTTCGTTAACCCATAATGTGTGCAGTTCAGTGAATCCACCATCTGATGACAAAGAAATAATCTATACAATCAAGTACAATTTAAAGACATACCGCATTTATGGATCTAGAAGAATGACGTAAATAACTGACCAGCCATGTTGAACTTGAAAGGAGGTCGTCCACTCTTTTTGGTTGCACTATCACTTTCTTCTTCAACTGCCGAAGTTGCATTGGAATCTTCTTTTGAATCCGCTGCAGATGATACTGCGTCTTCAGTGTCCGTCTTAAATTGAATGGGCTCAATGAAGGAGCGATTGTAGCATCTAGATCAGTCTAAAAAGAAAATCTTAACCTTGGCTGGTTCTGGCGCTTCAGTTGGAGGGTCACTGCTTTCCTCCTTTCGATCCTCTGGAGCTACACTATGCTCCCGACTGCTAGCTTTGGATGAAGAAGTAGTCTTCGCTGTACTGGCTCCCGCAGCTTCCAAAACCTTGGTACGCATTTCTGGCATTGACCACTCCCCATTGACCTGTTCGAATTCCTGGAAAGCCACTTATCATCCTTACTGCTTCTTCGAAACAACAAAGTTATGACTACATACAAACCTGAACTTTCTTCCGAATGAGGCTCATTATTCCAATACGCGTGAGCACATGCTGCCTATTGAGGCCCTCTCTAGGAACTCCATCATTAAAGGTTTCCTGACTATCTGCGCCAGGCTCACACAGGTGCCGCATAAACAAAGACGTATATGTTTTGAAAGCTCTCTCCGACTTGCCTTTCAGATCACGTGTCTAAATTGAGCAGGCTTTTGCTCTTCACCACGATATTGCGATACAGTACACTTACAAGCCACTGAGATTGATAGGCGTCCTGTGGTGGCATACCCCAACGCATAACTGCATTGTAGAAGGCACGCCGCTGTCTCGGATTGAAACCAAGAACTTCTAATTGACCATTGACCTGCAATTAGCCCGAAATAGCTTAGGCCGCAAGTAGTATGAGGAGACCACAAAAATTGCCTTTGCAAGAAGTGGCGGGAGTTTTTCAGTGTCACGTTCTCGTTTCTTCTTCTTTTCACCTCCGATGCCTTCGAAGTCATCGTCAGAGTGTTCACCAGAAGCTTTCTCTGAACCTCCATCATACGAAGAGAGATCATCATCGTCATTATTCTGCTGCTGAAAAAGAGCAAATTTTGTGACTCTTCGAAAGCACATAAACTATAATTACCTCTCCACCACGATTCTGCCAGTCTTGACCCATATTTTCGCTTGCATAGTTGACCTGTTTTCGGAGCCTTTTGCCTTTACCGAGTTTTTGTGCTTCCATTTCCTGATCTTGCTCATAATGGTGTCGAAGAAGTTTCTCCCAATAGTCCGGATCGGGCTCTTTATCATTTTCCTTGATAACCTTTAATGTAAATTGATGTCTGGTTCACAAGCTAACTAAAGACTACGACAAACACGGGGGTTAGTAGACCATCTGATGTGAAGCTAACCTCCATTTCCTCCTCTTCCTCTTCTTCTTTATCATCAGTTTCCCTTGTAGTATAAGTAGCTACTTTGAATGAACTGAGATACTCGTTCGTCCAGTGCTCTTTCTTCTCTCCGTCTTTGTCCTAAACTCTACCATAAAATGACGCAATAGTCTCGCTAATCAGTAAGGGCAAGCAGCTCAATCCTAAGTTTGACTCTCCTAACTAGATCTCTGGTCGCGCAGTGCTTCCAAGAAAACAGAAGATTAATGATTTCTCAAGAAACTCAAGTGTCATTTGATACACACCTTTGGTTCAGTGTCCCTCTCTCTGTCTAGAAGAGCCTCAACAGCAGCATCATCCCACACGATTTCATTTTCGTTAGCCTTCTTCCCAGGTTCGCCTTCAGCTGTTTCTCCTGTTGGCTCATCATCCTTGAACAGCTCTTCTGTGCCCCACCTTTAAAGAAAGTTTGTAAATCAGCATCAATTATCGACTTGTAACAGATGAATAAAGCTCTGAATCAGTGAGTGGTAGCTCTCAGTTTGTGTAGTAGAGCGAACATTTTTTGCTAGAGATTAACAGGCGAGTGATTACGAATACTCTTTTTACCAGAGCGAACAAATGAGGTACACTCACCGTAACACATCATCAAGCTCGGACTTGCTCATGCTAGGTCCCTTCTGACCGAGACCGGCTCTGACAACTAAGTGAGTGAGCAACATCTTCTTCTTTGCAACGGATGTAATACGTTCTTCAACAGAATTTCTAGTCACAAAGCGATAAATCATTACTTTGTTCTGTTGACCAATGCGATGAGCACGAGAAAATGCCTGAAATAGATTGTGCATAAATGTTTGTAATGAAAGATGTAGGCTGTATCGCAGTTTCTTTATATCTCCACGGTGCAGAGATCAAAAAAACTCACCTGTATATCGTTATGAGGGTTCCAGTCCGAGTCATAAATGATTACAGTATCAGCTGTAGCAAGGTTGATACCAAGACCACCAGCTCGGGTAGAAAGAAGAAACACAAATTGTTGCGCACCAGGAGCTATAAAGAAATAAAATAGCCAATTGGTGTAGAACGATCACTATAAAAAGAAATACCATTGAATCTATCAATAGCATCCTGTCTTGCTTGTCCGGTGATAGACCCATCAATTCTTTCATACTTGTATCCTTCCACCTCACAGAAATCCTCCAAAATATCTAACATCCTAAAAAGAACTTCTTCGTTTGACACAATCTGTCTTATGTAAAGGGTATCCGGAGGAAAACTCACATGGTCATTTGGGAGAATATCAAAACTCTATGACCTCCTTCTCTAAGTTTTCGCATCATTTTCTGCAGTAAAACAAATTTTCCAGCATTTTTGATCAGCTGAGTTCCTTCGTACCTAAAAGAGGAAAAATTATTAGTGGAAAAAAGGAAGTTCAGACTCACAAAGAGACTTACATTCCATTTTTAAGCTTAGGCGCTTCCATACTGGCTTTAGCAAACAGATAAGGATGATTACAACACTTTTTGAGCTCCATGATAATGTTGATCAAGGACATCTGCGATCCACCGTTTTTGACGTTCAGAGCATCGAAGTTGCGAGTAAGTATGTTTTTATAGTACTTTCTTAAATCAATCACATTATTTCATTCAAAATGCTGCAAATGTTTCCGCACCACAGAAGAAAAATTGCACTTTATATAGCTCAGATGTGATAGACGGTAAAAAAAGCCTCAAGCTCTGTTTACGTTTTCAATGTTTCTCTCTGAGTTTCAAGTTCTTTGTATTGAATGTACCGAACAACCGCTACTGATACTGCAAAAAGGTTGGTCTTTTTTTGCGCTTAATGTTTAAGTTCCATCTAGCAGCACCAACTATGGACGGAATCTGGACATTGGGAGACAAAATCGAAAGACATGATCAGTTAAAGCATCCATAATGTTTTCTCTCAAGTTTCCCGCTTATTTTGTCATTGACTTACAAATATTATATTAAACAACGCAGTTCAACGATTAGTCGAAGTGTTCGACTGATATCACAGCACAGCTTAACAAAATGTGAATCTTCAGTATGCAATACCCACTTCTGTAACGAACTGAGCTCCACTCGAACAATAAGTTCACTCTTGGAAGGCATCCCTGTAAGCACGTCAGCTTTCAGGCGACGCAACATGTGGGGACCCAGTAGAGAATGCAGCTTCTGGATCTGATCTTCCTTGGAAATCTCAGCGAATTCCAGTGTGAAAGACTCCAAGTCGCTGAAAACTGTTTTTAACAGAAGGTGCCAATATAAACAAGAAAAATTTCATTCCTCGTTCGGCTTTTAAATCGTTCTTCAGCACACTACGCTCTTTGATAGATGTTAAGCTGCTATTTTAGATATCTAAAGAGACAGCATCTTGCCGGAAAAAAGTGAAAATGGCATCAGAGGCAGCCCCTTATTACCGTTTGCAAGGGCATAGCGGATAACAAGATGTCACGAAACTTTTTAGGCATAGAGAAGAACAACAAAACAACTCACAAGAATCGATCAGGTGCAAGGAAGTTGAGCAAATGGAAAAGCTCTTCAAGATTGTTCTGCAGGGGTGTACCAGTTAGGAGTAAACGATAATTGATATTGTACTCGCTAAAAAATGATATTTGATACATATGCAGATGTTAAAAGAGAAAAATGTTGTATGGAATCTACCGAAGATTTTTGAAGAAAGTAGATTGATTATTTTTTAAACGATGAGCTTCATCAACTACCAGAGCCTCCCATTCGATAGAAGACAAAATTGCCTGAAAAAAGCTCACTACCACGAAAGTTGCAATTAATCAAAAGTCAGTTCAATTTGAGGTATGCATGCTTTCCTTTCTTAAGTGGGAACGACGTCATTTGACTATTCCATTCCTATGCAATGAATCATCTGTACGTTTGACTAATCCACTAAACTAAACTAAGATTAAGATAACAATTTCTGTGCTGCTTACAAGATGATCCATTGAACTGAGTGGGAGTTGACCTTTCACCGTATTTCAAACGCCTGATTTAGTTCAACGATATTACCTTGTCCATATTGATGCACTCATAAGAAGTAAGCAGAACATGGAATTTCATATTTTCCTGGGAACGCATCCGTGAAGCCTTAGGACCTCCCTAAAACGGACAGAATGAAAATAGCAGACTTCTCATCACATAAACAAATATCGCCCAAGTTCCGACCTTCACGGCTCCTTCGACAAACGAGAATTCGTGCTCTCTGATGACCATTCTAGAATCGCGGTCACCCACATATGTGACGACATAGAAATCGGGACACCACTGCTCTGCCTCACGCTCCCAGTTGATAATCGTTGATAGAGGTGCAGCAATCTACATAGAATAACCAGAGTGAATAAAGTACATCTAACCACTAATAGATGGAAGAAAAACTGCTTACGAGAAATGGTCCCTTCGAATGACCTTCCTTCAAAAGAGAATACAAGAAGGTAAGAGATTGAACGGTTTTTCCCAAACCCATTTCATCGGCGAGTATAGCGTCTGTTCCATTTGACCAACAGTGCCGAAGCCAATTGATTCCTAGAAAGGGAGAACATGCTCTCCGATTAGTCATCTTCCCCAAAACGATCAAAAATAAAACCGTAAAACAGTAGGCACCTTCGAGTTGGTAGGCGTGAAGGGTTCCCCCAGTTTCCGAGATATAATCAGGCTGCACTTCATACTTTTTCCGAATCTGAAGATTCTTTATTAGTGTCCTGGACAAAGACATTGGCAATATTGCTAACTCACATCAGTGAGAGGCTTATCCCGCTTCTTCTTTTTGCTCAACGGTTCGTCAGTACTTTCAAGAGGTGGAAGCCCCTTCTTTTCTCGTTGGGCAGCAATCTTCTTAGCAATATGCTTCGGAATCGGCTCACCGAGCATTTTTTCCCTGAAACGGAGGTAACCAAGATTTTGTGAAAAGTAATTCTCGAACTTTTGCTTACCTATGTATCCAATACTTATTTATGGCATCTTCATAATAAGCAATATCCATATCATCCCGTTCCCATGTCGCCTGTTCATATGCAAGCTCCTTCCATTTCACGAGATAATCAAACTGTGTTTTACCATACTGCATGTGATTAATAATGCGATGAACCTGTAATGAACTTTTCAAAGCCGTTGACCAACTGGAATCACTGGTGTAGTGGAATATGTAAATATAGTACCTGCATCCATTCTGGTTTTATACCGTACTGGTAAAACTTTTCGCGAAGTTCATAGGGATCATTGTCCTTATGATGCCTTTGCGCAGTTGACTCGTCGAAGATGGGCGGATTCTCGCTATCATACTTTCGCCAATACATTCGCAATAGCTATAATTTCCAAGCATTCAAAATTATACTGCAAAATATGGGGGCCTAGAGAAGAATCTGGTCTTGGAAGGATAGTCGTCTTCGAAGAAAAGAAACATACCGCGGTAAAGTACACGTCCATTAGCGTTTCACTGACCCATTCGCAATGCCAATATGACATATATCTCCATTTAATGAAAAACTCCCTTTCTCTACGAGGTTCCATCTTGCGTGGGGGGCGGAGAAGAATAGCATCCTATTAGAAAAATATGATGAGTTATCGTGTAGAAACATGGGCAGTACTTCAGAAGCTTACCTTATCTGGCTCTTGATCGGGATTCACTTCAATGGGATCGGGATACGGTATTTCGATCCACCTCCAGCATAAAATTTTCTCTGGCCGTTGCTTAGGCTCAGGTATGGTGCACCTCGGGCAGAGCCACTCGTCTTCGGGTACCTGAAGAAAATATCACAAAGTTATGAAAATGAATTAGATAGAAAATTAACTATCTCTAACGTACCTCTTCCAGAGGAGGATTAATACAGTACGCATGGAAAGAGCTGGGGCAGTTGTCGCAGCACAGAAGTGATCCCACACCCTTAAAAATGTTGCTCACATTTAAAATATCGAATCAAGGAGTGAATAATTATGATTAATTAATAATTAGGCTTGGCAGAATAAAGGTCTGTGCCTAGCAAATGACAATCGTGTAGCTGAATTTCAGTAGCTGAAGCGTGATTAAGAAATGCGCCCACCTTGCATACTCGGCAGTACTCCATATTGACTTTAACCGGCTCTTCTTCTTTCGGTGGAGGTGGAGGACCATGCTCTTCGCAATGAGGACAACTCCATTCACCCTCTGGAGCTTGCTCCATTTCAGAATCCACACAAACAGTATGATATGCTCGGGGACAAGTGTCACAAAGGATAATCTCGCCTCCTTGCCTACATACTTCACAATAGTCTTGGTGCTCCATCTGAAGTACGTGAACTTCTACCATGTGGTATCAGCAACAGAAACACTGTAATCATTACCTCTTCCTCCTCGCCCCTAGCTCGCTTAGCCTTTCGAGAGGCTTGTGCTTTCTCTAAAGCCTGCTTTTTCCTATCAGCACGTTGTGCGGCGCTAAGACAGAAAATTTTTAACGAGCAAATCAGCAATACAATCTTTACTTACATAAAAACACGCATAAATAGATAATTCAACAGACCGGCTTGCTTTTTTCTCCTCTCTCTCTTTGTCCTCTTCATCGAGTTGATGTTCATGCTGCTTCAAGAGGGATTCGAACTCTTGATCGCTGTCAGCGGCTAAACAGGTGGAACTATTGGCAAAAAAGTAAGCAAGGACGCAAAAGAAGCTACTAAGAGTATTAGACAAAGAAGACCTACATGATGGACTTAGAATTGGTTGAGATGACACAATGAGCAGCAATCGAGGTATAAGAAAATTATGAGCGAGGAAAAAAATGTTATAAAAAAGAGGAAGAAAGATAGGATAAAAGGAAAGGATAAGGGTATTGATTCACAAATAGTGACGATTCAACATTGTTACATGAGTACTGCAAAAACCTGCAGCGATCAATACTTTAAGAAACTCGTGGGCCGAGGCAAGAGATAAGTCGTCGACCAAGGTTGTAAAAAAGTAGCTGATGGTATAATAATCGGAAAACGGGATTGGCTAAGGGTTGGTGTGAAGCTATTTTGGAGGTCCTCCAATGAGTTCTAATAGGCACTAAGACGAAACAGAAACCTATCATTACGGGAAACGGTGAGACATCCATGAATACCCAAATAGGTAGCCTTGATTGATTAAAGGGTGCACAAATCAGTGCTGGAAGCAAGAGTTTTTCTACAAGAAGGACGCACCGCCTTCATCATCCGAGTCATTTCTTCGCTTTTTGCGAGCAGATATGCGGATTTTGATTGGAGCCACGAGTTTATCCTGCTCCAGAGGTGGAGGTTTTGGCCTAAAGATAAAAGATAAGGTTGCAACGGAATATGAGACGTTGGTAAAACACTAAATCCGCATAATACGAGGCATGCCAAAGTACAAAAACGAACTGCTTTGTTGCTTTCTTCACAGCCTGTGAGCGACCCTGAGCAGCGAGATCCTCTTGAAATTCGCGGTATTTCACTTGGATTAAAGGATAAACCTTCGTAGCATTACATTTGGGATTTGCTTCCAGAATTGCTGGTCGCACTCGGTGAATGAAACTCTGAAATATGGTTGATGAAAGGCAATCAAGAGAAATAGCATCCAACAAGTATAACGGATTTAGACCTTTAGACTGGTAATTGTAGTATAGTCCTCTTCTGTATACTCAATAGCGACGTCCTGGATATCAAGAGCAGCACACATCTCTGCGGATGTGGCTGTTCCAGGGTCTGGATATTCTGATTTCTTTCGGCTGCTCTTGGATTTCCGTCCACGACTTGCCTTCTTGCTCTTCTTAGCCTTATCTACAAACAAATTCGTTGCAGTACAATATCATCGATTCTTAGTATACAAATGAACATGTGATCACCATAGACTCATTCCTACTTCAAAAATAGATGGAATCCAATCTGACCAATTAATAGTTTTATCATTAGGTAGCTACTATTCCTAATGGACTGCAAGTTTTTATTCCCAGTTTTTTCTGCTTTTCGCGGAATCGCGCTGGCCAACGAAGTAGAAACATCCAACATTCCTTTTAGAAATCATATGAGAACGATGGCTCCTCACCAAATTCCTCCTGTTCCTCATCCATTCCATCGATCATTTCAGCATCTTCTGGATCGTTTGTCATTAAGGAATCTTCTTCCATCGGCTCTTCTACAACATGTTTTAGATCAAAACTNTTGCTAACTTCGTCTCCTTCAAAATAGGCACTAAGGTGCAGTGTTGAGACCTTCTGAAAAACTCAATCACAATGCTTCTTATATGGTTTGACATCGTCTAGTAACTCTTCAAAAATTCGCCCCATTGTCGCTAAGTAACAATTTCTTCTATGCAGTAAAAGAGCGCTTCATCGACAATGCCCAACATGACAGTAAGTGCATGCTCTTCTCGACGTTATGAACATAAGCCAGCGACGCTCATTTAATATGAATGCCCTTCATCGTCAAAGTCACGGTATCGATCGGTCCGTTTAGCTTAACACCTTTCCCATGTGGGCAGATGTACTTGAATTTCATAAGGAATAGAATACAATAGAATGAAAAAGCAATTATTGTAGATAGACTTACCCTCTACCATTTCCTCAGCCGTGTGCTCCATCTCAGCCATCTCTCTTTCCCAAAATCACTGCAATCATTACAGTAAAATGGACAAGAAATCAGAAATCCCAGCTAATGGTGGAGTAGAATAACAGAGAGGATAAGTAAACGAAGGAGTGAGGAGGGAGAAATGAAAAGTATCGGAGTAAGAAGTCCCATGACGAGGTTCATGAGAACAGACTGAATAATCACCGGTTTCGCAGAAGTGACGCGGGAAGCAGTGTCCCAGAGGAGCCAAGCGCGCCTGTCCCCGAGGAGCCGGCCCCGCCCCTTGGCCCGCGTAACAAGTAATTGCAGCGGTGTGAGCGTTTGGTAGGGACCGAGCGATTATGGACGGACGTGGGTCGAACTCTCCAACTGGACTGAACTATCCACTTTTCCGTGACCTACACTGATTTGGGAAAGTAAGATGGCTGCGAGCTGACAATTTGGGATGAGAGTTTTTTCATTGTCTTCGCCATGGAAACGTACCTAATCAGCATTAAGATCTTTCAGATTAAGTGTCAGAAAGGCAATTATATTAATGGCATTGTCAGAGGAGATCGGCTTCACCGTTGGCCTCGAATGAGGCATTTAGCTTCCCACAAAGGGTACTGTATTTCCTTAGTTGGAAACTCCCCTAATCTTGTAGGATCTACAGCTTTTTAAAAATAATTGCCGTTAAACATTGCAATTTTCGAAGGTAACACAGCAATGAACTCATCTTAAGAATATTCTTGGGAAAATCCTGCCCACTGTGCATTCCTAAGAGACAATCGGTAATGCTATACAGCAACAGAAAGCCTCTAATAAGCTCATGACAAGATGGCCTTTTGTTTGCTTTAGAACTCCCGGGAAGGCCACCTAATCGATTGAGGGATGCGAAGCAACAAGTTTGACTGCATTGATGATTTCAATGGCTAAGGAGCCAGTTTGCTGAGGCCTCCCCAGATCTATCATGGATATGCTATTTAAAAAGAAGTATCGATGGGAATCGAACGCTTAATTGGACCACATCACATCCCCTTGTGTAAGGATGACGGCGGTGAAATGTCCTTTATTGATTCTTGAGTGTATACGAAAAAGGTGGTCAACTGGTTTTCTAAGTACATTATGTATGACGAACTACCTCGCATTGGTCTGTCCTCAGATACTACTACCTTACCCCTCCCCTTTATTTTTAGGTTGTACCTGGAAGCATCACAAAAATGCGTTATTCCCTCTCTAGTACAGTTTTTTCAGCTCCTTTGGCGATCACTGGATAGTAGCCATGGGTAATCTGTAACTCCAAAACAAGGAAGGATACAGGAGTGGTCAGAAGCGTGGCTCATCCTTGACGGGATCGAATCCTTTTTCGGTCAGCCGTATTCGATGTCGTTATCGGTCCATACCGGAACATTGGCTCAGAAGAGGGATATGATTTAAGTATCCTGCCTCTCCAGCCTATCACTGGTTATATGGATCTAACTGAAAGCCTGATGGATAGCGCACCGCTGAATGGTTTATGACCAATGGATTATGTACTGGGTCTGAAGAGGCAGGGTCATTATCAAAGGTAAAGTTTACGAAATTGAGTGCAAAATTTACGAAAATGATTGCCACATTTACGAATTATACGACATTGGGTGCATCGTTTACGAATTGCGATAGAAAACCTTGTAACCAGTATTTGGGACAAGACCTCGAGATAATGAATTACTGCACGGTGTAGAGCATTTTCAGGATGAACTAGGAAACGGTATCCGCAAATTTTGCCTACGTTGTGGAAGGCTTAGGAGGAATTGTGATAATTTGTGTTGACTCAATGTTGTGAGATCGAAGCCCGACCACGATAGGTCGGTGTCGGGAGCAACAAGCTTATAACAGCTTCGTCCATTTTTTAGTTGCGTCTTACTAACGATCGATTCTCGATGACTCGTGACATAACAATCCCTTCGCCAGATAACAACACAGCTTCAAGTATTACATGCTTCTAAAAAGTGCTAAACTTAAGAAGGTCGTAAAACCATGAGCTTCTCAAGTGAATTACTAAATACTCTCACAACTACATGAACGTTTTAGAAAGCGACTGAAAATCCCACTTGTCAGTCTGCCTTGAATGAGAAACGTGACTTTTAGAAGGCACTCGACACGCATGACTAGCACTTGTTCACCTGGGGGCTCCACCTATCCCCAATTCCCATTCTAATGTGCTCGCGTTTTCTTTGAGGATTTCTATGAAGCTCACGCGGAGTAAGTTCCACCGACGTCCACAACTTCACTGTTATGCATAAGAGGGACTTCAAGAAATAACAATAATAGGCTCGAATTCGTAACATGGTGCCGTTATCTTTCAGCAGCTTGTAGTTAATATATGGACAGCTATTGATTCACTGTTTCAGATTGTGCTTCATGTCTGTTGAATCAAATCCACAGTAATAGAACGAAGCAAAGAAAGGCAAGTCAGCCTTACCGGGTAATCTTTACCTATGACCTAAGCATAAAAGAGATTTTCCTGAAATTCTGCACGTTGAAGTGACTGCAGGAAATGACTTCAACCACCACTTTTTCTTCTGACTTCCTTTATTCGATAGAGTGACAATGACCGGTGTTGAGCAGCTCGATAATTCTTGTGGGTGCAATGGTAAAGGAGGCTCAATACATCCACTTCCCGAAGTTTAGAGCGAACTGAGATAGTAGATTATGCCACAGCTAATTTTAGTCACTCTGTGATACACGTAACTCAGAAACCTATGTCTTTTTGTCTAGAATAACTTGAAGCTCTATGAAATTTGTGGTTTTTTAGTCAGTGACGTGACCAATTGCGCGTTTTCGGCGCTTTCACAAAAACCGATTACATCGATCGATATCCTTCGGAGTTACTGAATCGAAGGTTTTATTTCACGTCATCATTTCTAACCCACACCTTGCCAATTAGACGGCGATAGCTATGTTACAGAGGAAGATAGACAGATGGGCATATTTTGATGGCTACTTGTTAGTGGGGTGATATATCAGGTACTGCTGAAGGAATATGCGAGAATTTCACAACAATCCTGATCTCCAAAGGAATTTCTCGGAAACTTCTATAGAGAGGCATTGAAAGGGTACTACTATTAGGTTTCTCGTTTCCAAAGTTCTTGCGGTTTCCGCGCACGCGCTATATAAATTCAAATTTTGGTGCCTGTCAAATTAGATCAATCGATGTATTGTGCTCCTTATGTAGGTCCGTAATTGCTCTCTACGTCGGAGCGCTCTCCCCAAAATTCGTAAGATTTTCGAAATCATTGAGACGTCCTTTTTTGCAGAATGGATAGGACTGCTTTCCGGACGGTTTCAATTCACGAGTTAAGGCTTGGTCGAGCTGCGAAGAAGGCGGCCACAAACATCAACATTGCATGGGGAAAGGCACCGCATCGGATAGAACGGTTCGCCCCGGCTTCAGAAGTTTAGAAATGGAGACGAGCCACTGAAAGAAAAAGAGCGAGTTGGTCGACCATCGTTAGTTGATCACGATGTTTTGCTAAGAGCAGTCATAATCTGCGTGAACCTGAGAAATAATGCCAAGAATCTAGGAGTCTATCTAAGAGCCAAGAATCTATCTGAGAGAGAATGCCAAGAAGATGGGCGTAACCCATAAAGTCGTTGCTGACCACCACAAGCAGCTTCTAGTGGTGAAAAAACTTGACGAGTGGTTGCCACACCAACTCACCAACTCGCGGAGCAGCAGCAGTTAAAACGTCTAAGGTCTCAGGTCCGTTGTAAGGCCGATTATAGCTCATGAAGAACTGTTTGATGAATATGGGTAGACAGTTGGATATTATATGGTCAAATAAGGAGGGAAGGGTTGCCGGATAAGTATGCGTATAGCCGTGGACGGTGTCTTTACGAAGGAGCCCCCCTTGACCCCCCACAGAACCTCGGGTTGAATTTAGACTGTTATAAAATTTCGAAATACAATTACACACGGCCTAATACAATTACACCCACGAAGTGAGGAGGCTTGTAGCTTCCTCTTCTTTTTTATGATAAGTAGCCGCGACACTCAATACACAGTTTATGACGAGAACAATCTCTTCGATTTTTTTCTAGGATGAACCTGTGACCCGAAGTACAGCGCAAGGAACACTGTTGTGTGTCGAGAAACGGCCCAGATAGAGCCAAAGAAACCATTCATTTGCCGTTTAACGGCGTTGCAGAGAGTGAACAGGCTGTGCCATTCGCACCGAGACACACGCTTTGCACACAGGCAGCGTACTGTGGCCAGCTGTACTCAATGTCACACTTATTTGGACGGCTCGACCAGCAACCCCTTCTGTGCATTTTTGCCGTGACTTTCTGATCTCTGATCAGCCTCTGATTTCACTTCTTTTTTAGAAGCCTGATATTTCCCTGGATACATCGATTTTTCTTTGACACTATTGCACTATTATGGATTATCACTTCCATTATTCGTCAGGAGCTGTGAGCCCAAATTTATCGTGAATCATGGGCGGAGGTGGTGTAGTGGCAAGTGGCGCACTATATCACAGGCACGGTCAGAGGTTCGAATCCCGGATCGATGCCCGTCTAGGCCAACCAAGCCTTCCATCCCTCCGGGGTCGGTGAATTGGTACCAGACTCNGACGCCGCTACGATTCTGAATGGAAGTCGAGTGCGGGGGCGCATCCCTCAGACGGGATTGATTAACGCCAAAAACTTTATCCTTTTTATCCTTTATAGGAAGTGCTTGCAGAAACGCACTAGATTCTATGAAGATCTGAGCATCAGTGTATACTTGTTACAGGGATTTACCACGATTTCCAAACGCTGTTAATAAAAAACGGAAAAGCTGTCTCGATTTATAATTCGGATTGAAAATGAAAGAATGCAATTAATGCGAATAAAAAGAAGGACTGATTCGGTCCAGAAAGCGTCTCCCATGAATCCCAATGAGTTTCTCAAATGGCTGCACGTCTGACATCATCCACGAGAACTTCTCCAACAGGATTATATACTTGGTGGTCAGTGAGAGGAGGTGACAGTGGTGACGGTACGATTCTTTGCGCCCCAGAGCCTGCTTCGACGTCTGAAATATGAATTATACAGTTGGAAGATGCGATAGTTTTAGGAAATTGGACTGGTACTGTCTACGGGCACACTAGGAATGAATGCTGTTGTATGTGATAGAACTATTTATGGCCAATGTAAAATTGGTGGTGAGTCGCTGACAATATTAACTCGAAAGCAGCTTTATATATTTAGTAAACTCAAGTCGAAGCAAGATGAAAGATCGCAGCTACCATGGCGCCTGGTACTATCGGTTTAAGTGTCATCGCAATCCGTCAGCTCTATCTATTTGTTAATCTACTAAGTCGAGATCGTTGCAGTCTGTCTTTTACATTTTTTGCTAGTTTTAATCATTTGTACACTGCCATCACCAAAAAAGTTTGGAGTATTTGTCAAGAGAAGTTGTTTTTACGTCTGTAGGACTTGAGAGAAATCCTCGATCTGAACAATCGCTCTTCATAGCTGAATCATAGCTGAATGCTTGATCAAATGCCAATTTCTACTGACTGAAACCTTCGGGACGTCAAACGAACACCAGGACAGTCGCCAGCGATGGTCAGACTTTTTCACAGGAGCTCTTAACTAAAAGAATGCTGTGCTCGCGTCCCTCGAGCAAATATGATCAACTGGACTACTCTGGCTCGCGACAGCGACAAATGGAGACGTTAGCGTTGGCGTCTGCTCTAGGAAATCGATGACGACAGGTGATTCAGTTGAAGAGAAGGATGTTGATCGAAAAGATAAATTCGATTACTGCATAAAGGAAATGAACAGTTAGTCGTCGTCGAAAACCTCTCTTGTAAAATGTAATCATTTCGAACTCCCGCTGTATGGGTATGGTCGAATGAAACTGCGAGGAACCCTGTTCATGCTCACGCTCTCCTCACGTGTCGGGGCAATCTTAGTCCTCTCTCTTACTCTTTTGCAATGAAGTACCAATGTGCCAATACCACCAATGTCGATCTGCCGCAGATCGATTAATCACAATACATTTGACGTCTTTTTTAGCATTCAAAATGGAAAAGACATCCAAGCTCAAAAACCTTGAACGGAAGCTAGCTACCATATGTATATCCAATGTAGATCTCTAATTAATTAGTTTGCATAAAAGCGAGACAGTACTCAACGCTCAAAAAATTATTTTATGCAGTGTTTTTCATCGTCCTGCGAGATACTCATCGACTCGACTCCGGCCCAACCACCAACTTCGTTGGCATAACCGAGGGGCGAAACTTCTCCCGATCCATTTTGCCGCATGCGGCAGATCTTTCTCAGTTGTCGCGGCCTCAAACTGCAGTTACCGTATTCAGACCATCTCTCCGCTAAGCAATAGGACACCATATTTTTTGTTGACTACCTTTCTTCCTTGTCCTTTTTGATTGTTCTTTCTTGTTTCTTTTCTGTTTTCATGTTTATCAGACTTGATTGTATGGAAAGGACTCCTCCTCTATTATCGACGATAAGAACCGCAATGGGGTTGAAGGAATTAGCCAGCAATTGTAAATAATTAAAGGGCTCTATATTTCACAGAGCTCCAATCTTCCATCCCATCTCTGCGATACGCGGCCGGTGCGGCCCGCGCGATGCGTTGTTCGGGGAGAAGATACCACTCCCAAATTAATCTATGCCTTTGTATTCGTGAGCACTTGGGGACGGGCGATAGGCCATGGGCAACGACTTCGGCCTCAGTCGATGTATAATGTGGCCGGTAACCCATCTGATTCGTGTAAGGACTTCACGTTTTATAATGTTGGCACACGCCTTAGGTTTTGCTCTTTTTTCGTATAGTAGCTGATCACATCTTCTCAACTGTCTGCTTAAGGACTGCACTGAGAATGAAGCTTTTTCGAGACGTAACTTTCCAGCACCGACGCATGGGTCGTCAACCCGTTACAGATAAGTTAAGGTCAACGCCAGTCATCTATCAGCCAAGTTTGAATGCAGCCAGCGTGTCTTTCCCAGTGGGCCCACGTCTATGGTGGGACTTTCGTATCTGGATGCGTCAGGAATATGCACAAGTGAGAGTCTCTGCCTTATGTTAAGAAACACATATACGCTTAAATCTGGGTTTCTACTCACAGTACACTCGTGCGGGTTCCTTGTCCTGCCGTATTTTGTCAAGTTCATCAGCGAGTCTCACCCTGAAACACTATAGAATATTGACATACTTCTGAAACTAATCCCTTCAAACAACCTGTAATGAAGTTTCATGCCATACAAGATTACCACCAACACTGTCATGAGGAACATCACGAATATGAAGTAATAGAGTATCGCTCTATTAACGGAGTCGTTGGTGTGTTCTGTAATTGAAGACTTGAACATGCATCCACAATTCTCCTTCAACTGGAAAGCGGGCCTTGTATTTTGCCGCTCTGCTTTTAGTTTCGTAATGCAAAATAGTACTCTGAAGAATAGTCTCACAGTTGTGCTCTGATTTCCACATTCTCTGAACAGAGAAAATGTTGCCGGAGCGTCACTCGAATTGAGCCGATTTTGGGAGTTAGTAAAGAGAGCCAACGCCCAGTAGATGTTAAGGTTAACTGGAAGTCGTTTATGTGTGATTCTTCTAGTGTGAGGAGGAACCTTTCGTTTCATTGACGTGCGCTAACTTTGGGAGAAATTTTCACGATGAAACTTCATCAGAAGCATCCATGTCAGTTCGGACGAAAGAGATGATCAGAGAAAGCGAGAAACAAGCGCCTTTTACCTGAGAATTCTCTGTCATCGTAGAACTGACTTTGCGCATTCATATTCACAACAGCGAATGTTTACTGACGGGTAACTTTGAGCAGCTACTAGAAGAACTGAGTAGTATTTCGTGCATTCTATACTTCTTTATCAAAAGATCAATATGTAATGAAGCGGTCAGCTCCTTGAAATCGACATGCTCCCCTCACTCTACACAGGGTGTCTGCCACACTGCTTGCAGCTCCTTTCAGATAACAACTCTTATGTTACATGACTGAAATTCCAGAGCCAAAAGTTGTGAGGGGCTCTTCTATAGTATAGACCTCCTGGAGCGCGTAGATGTACATGTAAATTCTTCTCTATGCCGTCTCTACTGCAAGGGCTTCCAGGTCCGTCTACTCAGGCCTTTCGACGCACTACAAATCCGGGATTCAGGGAGCTAAAATCTCTTTTTTACTCGGAACTAGCCTTTTAAATTGGTAACAGCGTCCACATGAATGCAAAAAGGCACTGCCCCAATGTAGTGAGCAAATATTCATGAAGAGGTGCGCACTACGGAAAAGCCAGCATAAATTTGCGACAGTAGAGACACTTTCTAGGAATGCCTTCATACCCTAGCACGTCTTGGGATATTCTCACGTAGCAGCATGTTTAGATAGTCGCATGGAGTCGTTTCTCTTTGAGGACATCACTCGAAATTTCCACTCGGGAAACCCTAAATAGACACTTCTCCGACTAGATTTTAGGTTGACTAGTCCCGGTCTCTTGGGGACTTCGGCTCAGAAGTCGATCTGACCCTCTTTGCTAGTAGTTGCCCTTACGATATTTTCAAGATAAAACAACGCTTCCTCCCCCACCAGCGATGATGGAGGTCCGGCAGATAGCGCCTTAAACTGATAGAGACCTCAGTTGTTGCGACGCGCTTCATTCTTCGCGGCCTCTACTAGCTGCCAGTATTCGGCGAAAACATCCCTGTTGAGAAGAAACTCTCAACTATACGCGTTTGCAACATAGTATCAATTACAAGAAGAGGGTGGCTATCGACCTGCTCTACGCGGTCGATCTTTCATTGAAAGATCGACCGCGTAGCACAGGTCGATAGCCACCCTCTTCTTGTAATTGAGTACACACAGTACACAGTGTACACATGAACGTGACAAGACGTCTTTTTTGTGCAATAATACGATAGTTAAGGATCACCGGAATTGAGTGGGCTCAATTATATTTCGTTTTTGGACCACGCGTGTTGCAAGCCGACTTACTGTTCGAGTACTGTTTTAGAGTTGGGCTACAGTTTTTTACAGTCCCATTTTTGCTGAACAGTTCTACGAGTGAATTCTAGTGACTTTTGTTTGAGGCACCAATACGCTCCAGCATCGTATTACATGCTAGTATCCCCTTTTCTACCATTGAGCTCTTTTCCCATTCTCCTATCTCTCCGCCAGCTTTGAACACTGCTCCGCCCGTTATTTTGGGTAATGGAAGAGGTACTCTGGTCCGGCTTGCTACCCACGTTTCATGTAGTGCTATCTAGCAGGTCGACCCTAAAATCTGGTTCTTTGTATGGTGGACTTTAGTGAGCGTCACGGTTTTTTTCTCCCGGCTTTATGTAGACCTTCGGAACTGCGGTTTACGAAGTCATTGACATTTGAGTTCCCGATTTTTCACCACTCGGAAGTCTGAAATCATGTCCGTTTCGACTTCGTATGTTTTCTTTTCCCGACAGAAATTTTCTGTGTGATAATATCACTATCGGACCGTTCAATCTTCATCTTAAAGCTAGTTCTATCTATCAGTGGATAACCGTTCTATTGTAAGATATCAGTTCTCAGTAGGACTAAGCAGTTGCCAACTTTCTTCACAAGGAACACTAAAATGTTCTTGGATTTGATTACCAGCCCAAGCCAAGCCTCACTCAATGACCTTCAGCGATCTGAGGCGTTGTATATGGATATGAGCGGGTTGAGTTTGGCTTTCTCTACGTCCTCATCTAGATTGAACGGATCTTTCGAAGCGATCAAGAGAGGACCAAGTGACAAAATGCTGATTTGTAACGCTGTACGATCAATGCTCCTAGAGTACATCCACATGCATCCCTCAGTTTTTCTTATTGAAGATCAAGATTTTTACCTCCAGAAATACTTTGGATGCTAATGCTACTCCGACCCTGTTGTCAAAGCAACCTTTTCTTTATAGTGACGGAAAGTCACCTCTTGGAATGCTGTCCTCAACTTGAGATGGAGGCATCATGAACCTTTGTGGGTCGTTGTCGGTTTGTTCTTTTGAAAGTCATGCGGTTGACCGCACGACTTTCAGAAGAAGTCGACTTGTCGCGAGAGTCCAGCGCGGGCTGGTTGAATCCGACCCTGCAACTCACCCAGGCTACCCCTAAAGATTGTCCCCTCTTTTTGATTTTTCTCTCTCAAATACATATCAGTAGTTGTGAAATTGATCCTACATTCCAGTATCAACCGTTCGAAGAGCCAACCGCTTCAAATTCTTCACTAAAATTTTTTTCATAATTCCGGCAAAGGTGCACTCGGATATACAATGAACAACTCAGTGGAAAAGTGGGCTCCAGTGGGAGGGGAGGCAGCGCTGGCCTCAACCGCCGCTGGTACGCTTATATTTCAAGGCTACCGATCATGAGCTAGCCACCTGTCGACCCACGGTTAGGAAACCTTTTTCGAGCCCGCTTCCACTGGCTTCCCTTCGTGCTTGTGGGGGTTGAAGCCTTTACGCAGCTACTTGCTTTGAGCCAAGACAAGCTCAAAAAGATGCTCAATAGTCTCGCAATCATATGCACCCTGCCCGCCCCTCGACTAGCATAATGGTGGATGGTTATGATGGTGTTTTACAAACCGAGCTTTATCAATAGCGACGCTATCCGCCCTACCAACACTTTCTTTAACTCAATGATAAGAGCAACAAAGATATGGCAACTAATATGCGAACAAAATACCAGCACACAATTAATATGGCGATCAAATGCATGACGAACAAATATATGATGAGAATATATTACAGACATGCTCAGGCACATATTCTGCTTGTGGTCGTTTAAACATTTGGTGAGATTTGACCTCTACCTGGTCCGCTTTCATCGCTATTATCCATCCGCTGTCATGGGAAGAGCTCAGCGGGCCCTGCAATTGTCGTGCTTGGGTGCAACGCAAGGGTCGCCAAATCGGTAGCGCTGTTTTGCGAGTGTTTACTCCTTGATCTGTACCATCTTTACATTGATTTCCTTGAACGGGGTGCTTCGCCGCTCCAACCACGTCTGCAAAAGCAATGTTAAGCATTTCCGAAAAAGCATTGCAATGCGTGTGGTACTTATGCCTGCGATCAGAAGATGATCTGCTGCTATTCATCCTAAAAATAATCACATCAAAGATTTAGCTCTTAAGCGAGCGAAGCCGTGGACGATACTCACAAATCACTGAGTTCATTGTTGCCTTGAACTCTTCACGAGGTTCGTAAATGTCCTTTAGTAGGCTGACGTTTCGGCGGAATCGCCTTCTTCAGAGCCTGAAAGGATCATAACAATCTGTGACTATCCGATCGAACGTCTCCGTCAACCCTAAGTTCGAGACCCCCAGGGCACGCAGGTGGTCGAAAGAAGGACCACTCACCGTAACTTTGTGGATTCTTCAAAACCACCCAACAAGTAATGGTGCCAACCGGCCAGTGTCAGCTGGGGTATATCCTCATTAAAGTTTCTGAGGGAAGGCTAATCTTACATAAGGCCGTAGCTCCCGCATGATTGCGAAACTCTTCCCTACGACTCATTTTGGGATTGGTGACCTGTATCCAAAATGCCTCGAAAGGTTTACGCGCGCACACTTGCGACTCCTGTGCTACGATCTCCGGTGGCCTCAAAAACGCCTTCGTTATTTTTCTGAATTCTGTGACTCCCTAAAGCAGTAGACTCTTTCGATCGCCTCATACCATCTATGTATGCTCCTTGACCCTCACGTGGGTGGTCTTGCCATTTCTCCTATATACTCATGTCCGAAAGTATCCTACTTTATATAATCCGCTAAGTGTGTCTGTTGGTTTGTCGGTGTGTTTGTGTGTGTGGTTGTTTGTGTGCGTGGGTGTGTCTGTGTCGGTGCGTGTGTCTGACCGGAAATTCATAACTCCTGTCCCAGTGGACCTAGAAAGCTCAAATTTGGCAGGAGTACAGGGGGCGGCATGGGAACACTTATGACAGGTGGTAGGAGCAGACTCCACCCACAGGGAGCAGGTTGTGCGCGATAGAAATTTTAGGTCGCAAATTCATAACTCCTGTGTACGTGGACCTCGAGCGTTCAAATTTGGTAGGATCACACTTTTCGTGATAACTGATAAGAGAAGATTAAGGGCCTAAGAGTGCCACCTACGAAATGCTAACATCTTCGTTATCTACGATGTAGCTTTGACCGTCCAGTATGTTTCATTCGATAAGACGAGATGGTAGAGCAGGGTGACAAAAGTGAGCGGTAAGTGCAGCGATAGGGACCCATCAGGGCAATACGATAAGCAGATTAGAACTTTGTTCATTTATTACTCTTAG